AGGGTTTAGGGTTTAGGGTTTAGGGTTCAGGGTTCAGGGTTCAGGGTTCAGGGTTTAGGGTTATTAATTTCCCTTCTTTCCATATAAAAGGGAACCCTATTCATAGACAAGTTTCAAGGGGTATAAAGCACAAGTCAGATTTGGAGAGGATGGGGAGAGTTGGTGGTTCAGGGTTTCGCGTTCAGGGTTTGCCTTGCTTGCCTCTAGTTGTTCCTCGAAGTGCTGTAAAGCGAGCTGCAGTAAGCTGTCCCCATGGAAACTCAATGCCGGAACTTTAGGATGTTCCACTTACACTAACAGTCACTGACAGTCCTTATTGGGGATTATAGTACCCCCTATTATGATCCCCATGAAGGACTGCTAGTTGAAGGGGGAACATCCCAACTGCAACCCTCCGAGCACCAAGTCCCAAAGTCCTGAACTGAGATCTCCCTACGTACTTTATTTCAGACCACCATATTCTGCTGAGCTGGTGCTTAAAAGGGAGTAGAGGAGAAGATCCCCGATCTCTCTTTTCTTCCGTGAATATACTCATTATATACTGAGCCTCATAACACCTATATGGTAGTCTCGAGGGATCACTCCCCTCGCCCCCCTTAAGCTAGACCAAGACAAGCTGTCCGCCTGAGGAAGGTCTTATTATACATATATATATATATATGTATACACTACACACATATATACTTATACATATAACGTACAAATATCTTTTGAGCTCATTTGTATGTATATACATATACAAAGACATATACATATACATATACGCATACATATGTATATACATATATATTTTATGTCTTTATTTATATTAAATGTATATGTATGTATAGATGCTGAAAAGGTCTACCTCATGTGCCACCTTAGCCACCTGGCATGGCTCCGGCTCCTCGTCGTGAGCCTCGTGGTGTTCCTCCTTCACAGCGGGGCGGTCTGCATGGGCGTCCTCGATCCGAAGGTCGGGGGAGGGAATCCAGGTTAGAACTTTGGGGGGTTTAGGGTTTAGGGTTTAAGGGTTTAGGGATACTAAGTACAAGGTTATAAGGCCGTATGGGCGTCCTCGATCCGAAGGTCGCCTCTGGGTTCAGGGTTGAGGGGTTTAGAGTTTAGGGCCAGTTTAGGGTTTAGGTGTTAAGGGGTTTAGGGGTTTAGGGTTTAGTATTTAGGGTTTAGGGTTTAGGGATATCGATCCCAAAGGTCGCCCTGAAATTCTTAGGTGCTGCTCGCGTTAGGGTTTAGGGTTCAGGGTTTGGGGTTCAGGGTTTAAAGGTTCACCGTTTCGGGGTTTGGGTTTAGGGTTTTGGGACGGGTACTACATACAAGGTGTCTTGCTTGTTATAGGGTTTCGTAATTTCTGCATGATTACATGATCAGATTAGTACATTATTACAAGACTGTTCTAGATCATGTTCTTACATTTGTTTGTTTCCTACATATATGGATTAGTGTAGGTTTACCCATTACTAGAGATGAGGTTTAACGCCTCGGGTTTAGGCTTTTCGTCCCATACATGGTAGTTGTTTGTTGCGTGCTGTTCTTGGCTTGTGTGTGTGGGTGGGTGGGTGACTCAAACCCAAAACCCTAAAGCGTGTATCTTCAGTTCCAAAGAAGGCCGTTTCCGCTCCGAATGACATTTTCCATACGGCGGTGGAGGGGGCATTAGCCCACTCAAGAGCCCACGGGTTTAGGGTTGGGGTTTATGGCTACTCTTGAGTTGGGAGGATATCGAACGAGGACGTCCCTTCGACATACCTGCAAGAATTCGTAGTATCAGTTTTTGGTTTGATGATTAGGCTTGCTGTACATCGCCATTGGTTATAGTGCGTTTTTAGTCCCAGAGCCATCGTCGTACTAAGTTCCCTTCAAAGAAAAGATTTTCGTTCTGACTTGAATCCATCCAGATTGATCACAAAAGCCAAGAGTGCATCATTTTCCCAACCAGTATCGACTGGACATGTGTGTGTGGTTTAGGGACCCTCCATTTCCTATGTACCAGCAAGAGGACTGATGCGTTAATCCCTAAACCCTAAGCCCTGAGCCCTAAACCCAAGACCCTAGCCCATGAGCCCCAATTGCACTTGGCCAGGTGGACCGCCGCCGGCGTGTTTGCAAAACCATCTGCACTGCCGGGGCACGGACGCTTGTTTTTTTTACCAGGTGTGGGGTTTAGGGTTTAGGGCTGAGGCTTTAGGGTTTAGGGTTTAGGGCTAAACCCAAATCCGAACCTCGCAACCCAAACCCCCTAAACCCTTAGCCCCTAAACCCGAATCGGTATGCCTGAACTACTAGGTCCTAACGGCCCCAGAAAGCCTAAGGCTTCAGGCTTTTCAGGCGTCTTGCAGCCCAGTACTTCGTGCGACCAGAAAGCCCATGGGACAGGGACATTAGCCCCAAATCACTTCCAAGCCATTGCATTCGACCCGTACCGTCGACCATTATACATCCCAGGGGTTCAGGGTTGGGTAGTTTGGGTTCAGGGTTCAGGGTTGTGGCTAATTTGGGTTGGCTGAGGGCTTGCCCCCCCCCCCCCCCCCCCAGAACAGTCGAAGCGGTCTTTGTTCCTCTTTACACGGTTCCCGGGGTTCATATGATCTTAATAGGGATGAGTTTAAGAGAATTTCATAGGGGCAGCGATGCCCGGCAACTGATTTCAAAGGCGCCCCGGTTGGAATTTCTTACGGCGCCCGGACGATGTGACTTAATTCAGGATCCCACCGCGCAGACAATCTGACTTTATTCAGGGGCCCCCACAAACCAGGTGGAACATTACAAGGTTTCTGGTTGGGGTCAGGGTTAGGTGTTTTGAGCCATGTCGACGCCTAAAAATGAAGCTTTAAACCCTAAACAGTAGACCCTTGAAACCCTAATCAAACCTTTAAGCCCCATAAACCCTTAAGCCCTGTGAGTAGCCTTTCGGTCCTGCACCCCTGCAAGCCCTCAACCGTCAACCCTCACCCTGAACCCTGAACCCTTACCCTCAAGCGCAAGGACGGGCAACAACACGAGCCACGGGCTTTGTAGCGAGAGGCGCCCTCGGCGCGTCAGAGTTTCAGCTGGGTTTTGGGGAGTTAGGGTTTAGAGTTTAGGGTTTAGGGTTTGGTGAGTTTTAGGGTTTTAGGGGTTTAGGATTTAGGGTTTTGGGTTTTTTTTGGTTTTACGGTTTAGGGTTTTTTAGGGCTTGGGATCTACGGGAGGATGTGAGGTTTAGCCTAAGATTTATGGGCCTCGTGGAGTTTTGGGTTCGAGTGTAGGGCAGGAGGTTTCATTTACTGCGCCCCGAAGCCCGAACTCCAGCACCCAAACCCCAAATCCCTCCCCCAAGTACCGCTTTCAAGGGCCCAAGGGAACCTTGTTGGAGGTCTCTTGAGCTAAGAGGTACTTCGGGGGTCCGGGGGGGAGGGGATCCAGGTTAGAACGGTTTAGGGTTTAGGGTCTAGGGTCTAGGGTCCGGGGTTTGGGGTTTCTTGTTTAGGGCTAGAGTTTAGGTAACCCTTGCGCCTTGGGCAACTCGGCCAGGCCTGCATGCGACAAAGCGAAGCCCTAGTGAGCGCCATGGAAGGAAGGCTCATGGCCTAGGGCTTAGGTGTTAGGGTTTAGGGCTTAGTGTTTAAGGCTCTAGACCCTAAACCCTAAGTCAGGGCTTAGGGTCTAGGCTTGATGGTTTCGGGTTTTGGGTTTAGGTCACCTCAGCCTCGGCGCGAAGGTGAGCTGCAGCAGGGAAGAGTGGCTTTGAGCATGATGCTGTGCCTGCCACTTTTGCTGTTCCATGCTTTCAGGCATCCTTGCAAGAAAATTTCCCGAACCTCCCAGAACCTCCCAGAACCCTTAAACCCTTAAGCCCTTAAAGCCTTAAACCCTAAACCCTTAAACCCTAAACCCTAAACCCTCTTAAGACATTCATGTAGAAAGAACATGAAGGTACTCTGCCTTAGACCCCAAAGGTAGTAGAGATCAGTTTGGGGACCCCTTTTTTGTAGATCCCTGAGGTCGTGTAAGGGCCATATGAGCAGCATGTTCAGGGAAACCTTGGGTACAACCTTAGGGTACGAGTCTTCATCCCTTGAGAATACGCTAAACCCTAAACCCTAAGCCCTAAACCCTCAACCCTAAACCCTAAACCCTAAACCACGCACGGTCTGCTGCTCACGCTGACTCCCCATTGGCCCGAGAGGGGCGCAGGGGAAGACTGTTTCCAGCTCAGCGAGAGGTGCTCCGAAGTGCGAACATCGTTCCGTTATGACCGCAACTGCCGGAGAAAAGCGTGCCAAGATGCTGTGAAGGATTGAGCCACAAGACGGTTGGGGACTGAGAGTCTTCGAGCTCAGGATGAGATTGGTTTAGGGCTTAGAGTTTAAACAGCAGGTTTGTTGCACAAGGGGGGATGGTGCAAGCATCCAAGTGCCAGCTCCCGAACCCGCAACGTGGGAATCCTGTCACATGATTCCCAAAAGAAGTTTCTCGTCAGTTCTTGGCACAGAATTGCGGAATGTTATGGACTTAGTGTCTCATATTCTTACATCCCCCTTTGCGTCTCTCCTTTTCAAGGGGCCCACATGTACCTTTGCAGCGTAAAAAAACTCGAAAGCCCGAAACGATAGATAGATAGACGTATATATATATATATATACAGATATACAAATGTATATGTATATATACATATATATATATATATTGATATTGATATATTGCACCCACCCAAAACCCCTCCCCCTCCCCCCTCCCCCAAGCCCCGGACCCCTCCAAGCCTCTCGAGCCTCAGAAGCCCCCGAAACCCTAAGCCCAAACACCGAAGGTGAAGAGCCTGATTAAACCCCCAAAGCTCTGCACCCTAAACCCGAACCCTAAACCCTAAAGCCCTTTGAGCCTCTTAAACCCCCAAAGCCCCACACCCTAAGCCCTAAGCACTAAACCATAAACCCTAAACCCTAAACCCTAAACCCTAAACCCTAAACCCTAAACCCTAAACCCTAAACCCCCTAAACCCGAGGGTGCAGAGAGTGCAGGATCGTCCGGTCCTGCGCCTCGCTGGCGGCAGCCACCGAAGCCTTACGCCGACTAGGTGGTTTGGTTGGGTTTAAGTTTAGGGTTTAGGGTTTAGGGTTTAGGGTTTAGGGTTTGGGGCTTGGGGCTTAGGGCTTCGGGCTTAGGGCTTAGGGCTATCATATGGCTACTGGGCTACCAAGCCTAAATGCAAGAACCACCTTCGCAGGCTTCAGTTCCATGGACACTGATGCTGCAATCGATGCCTTCACGCTGCTGAACCGCGCGGTGCGCGGGCTGGAGACTGGCTTTTTTGGTTTAGGGATTCAATTTGTAGGCTTTGTTTAGAGACTAGGTAGGGAGTAGGGCGTATGGCTTCAGGTTTTGGCTTTAGGGGTTTCGGGTTGAGCTCCCTGGACCCCTAAACCCCTGTTAAACACCTGAACCTGTGCAATGCCTTCTTATGAACCTGGACATCAGTGAGAACCCTTTGAGGGCCAATGGCCGCTTTTTTCCCTAAGCCTTAGGCTTACCCACTGAAACACCCGAGGCCCTAAACCCCCCAAAGCCCCAGGTAAGCCCTGAAAACCCTCAACCGCCAAGCCCGCACCTGCACCCCTAGTCTAGCTAGCCCCAAACCTTCGGAGGTGCTGTGGGTTGTGCAAAGCCCTGAGACAGAGGACGACGAGGCAAGGCGTCTTGCTTCGGCTCATATGGAGTTTATGAACATCTCAAGAGCAACCGAAATCCTAACCCCCCCCCCCCCCCCCTTGCCCAAGAACAAGAACACACACACACACACACACACATGCACGTTTACGTATATATATATATATATACATACACCTAAACCCTAAAGACCCAAAGTCATAAACGTCAAGCCCTAAGTGATCTTCGCATTCAGGGCGGCTGAGCTTTAAATGCAGGGGGCGAAGACAGGGGCCGTTGAGGTCAGTGGGTCTCCGGCTTTGGGCTTCAGGGACTTTATAGAGACTTCAGGAAGAAAAGTCAGGGAACTTCGGGAACATAGGGAGTTCAGGGAAAGAAGGGCATGCCGAATTTAGGGTCTGGGGGTTTCTTGGCAGCCGTTGCTGATCTCTAGAAGGGTATTGGACTTCTACAACTCTTGCCACACGTAGCTGAGTTGCAAACACGTTGGCTGTAAGGGTTCTCCCATCCCCTGCCCACCAAGAAGGGGTAGTCATCCCCAAGCAATACGATCCTTTGTCGTCTCTTTGTCTTGCTTATCTGCCCAAATAGCCGGTGCATGCACATTAGGTGACCGTTCGAGCTAGATAGCACGTCTGGCTCTGCATGGACGTCATATGTCGTGTCGTACTGTGAATGTGCCCAGTTGGCATGTACTATAGGGGTCGGAATCATTATATACTGACAATACTGCCTTATTGTCCCTTTGTAATTCTACTATAGTAACCTCCAAGACACTATTTTAATTATTCAGGCCCCTATAGCCCTAGCCCTAAACCCTAAATCCAAAACCCTAAAGCCTAAACCCATTAAGGCCGGGATATTATAGGGTTTATACGGTTTAGATCACGAGGTGCTCTCCCAATTGGAGGACAAGGAGAAAGTCCTGGAGCTGCTCGGAGGGTTTAGGGTTTAGGGTTTAGGGTTTTAAGGTTTAGGGTTAGGGTTTAGGGTTACGGTTTAGGGTTTAGGTTGCTTCTTCAAGTGCTTTTACTCAGACCTGTGCTAGCTGCATGCCATTGTAAGCCATCCGAAGTCCCTAACCTGCGCCTAACCTGTTGGAAACTATGTCCTTTGCATAGCTTACTTTGCAGTGGTTTTCCTAAACCCTCTCAACTTCAAGTAAGCACCACAAAAAGCCCTACACCCTAAACCCACACTCTCAAAACACAGACCCCGCAAAATCAGCAGCACACATAATAAGTATACACCCTCCATCCTAAACCCTAGACCCATAACTCTAAGGCCAGGCTCTCAACTCTAAACCTGAAACCCTAAAACCACAACCTCTAATAATCCTTTAACCCGAAACCCACGAACTCCAATAGCATAAGCTCTAAACCTCAAATCCGAAGCCTCAACCTGGCTGGTTCTTAGTAGTGAACGAGGGAAGAGGGCCCTAGAGAATCCCTTAAAGGGTATACATAGGGCCCTCATTCCCTCATTCCCTGCCCACCTGGCACCCTGGAAACTTATCCCCAAAACCCCCTATAACCCTATAACCCCTAAACCCTAAACCCCTGAACCCGTGAGGTTCCTGGCAGACTTCCACGACCGCAAGCCGAAGCACCGGGCTCGCGTGCCTCATCACAGAGAAACCCTAAACCCTAAAACCCGAAACCCTAAACCCTAAACCTTAAACCCTAACCCCTAAACCCGAATCCCTCAACCCTAAACCCTAAAGCCTAAACCCTAAACCCTAAACCCTAACCCAACCTGCTGAGGTGACGGGCCTCTGCGTGCGGCTCATGGAGTTCGAGTCTTGGAGGGAGGCGCCAGGGATGAGGGTTTCTTGGGAATGTTTTTTTTTGGTTTTTGCGCACTTTCTTTTCTAAGAAACAAATATTTTTGACTTTGGGGTACTTTCTTCCTAAGAAACAGGTAAACTTATCATATTTTTGCTAGGGTTCAAGTTCAGTATAGCAGGGATGAGGGGCTTTCCTCAGAGTCTTAGGGTCTGCAGGGATTGTGGGGTTTATGTGGGATAGGGTTTGGCGTTTTGGGTTTAGGGTTTGGGGTTTTGGGGTTTAGGGTTTAGGTTTCGTTCGGGTTTTGTGCTAGGCTTACTTTGGGGTTTGTTGTTAGGTTGAGGTTGTTTGTTTGTGAGGGTTCTTTGGGGGCTTGTGGGACTTAGGTTGTGACATTCAAGGTCGGGCTCTGGAAAACTGAGATACCTTTGTTATTCAGCTTCCCAGTTTTCCTTCCCTGTAGGCCATAGACCAAACTAATCCCCAACCCTAAACCCAAAACTTCGGAATTCTAGCATTCCACAGAGCAATTTCTAGGTTCAGATCCTTTGAAGCCTAAAGTCTCCCTGCTGCAAACGCTGTGCCCTGCGGCTACAAGCCAAGAATCTATCTGCCCTTGAACATCAGAGGGAGGTGAGAACGTTGGTAGCCCAGTGGCACCCCCTTGCTCCTTTTTTGGTTCTAGGTTCCCTTATACAGTAACCAACCCCCAAAAAGGGTACCCTTCAATGGTGTTGTCTACGGGCTACGAGGAACATGTGTTAGTTGCTCGAGAGCCGCGTAAGGCCCCGAAGAGCACCCGTCAAAGAGCACGAATCTTCAACTTGGGAAGGCCCTTGGGATGTCTGATTATCTTTGTCATGGTGGGATAACATTTTACATTTTTAAGGGTACTTAAACTCAATAAGAATAAAATTTTAAATTTTTATTACCATCCCAACTATGAACCAGTTATGTCCTGGTTGGGTTCGAGAGAGGACCGGCGGTCTAGGGGTTCGTGGTTTAGGTTTAGGGTTTAAGGTTTAGGGTTTGGGGTCGGACAATTTTGGGGAAGAAGATGGTTTTAAGAGACCTTCATTCTAACCCTAGGCCCTGAACCCCCCAAAACGAAAATACTAAACCCTTATTACCCTTATAAGGAAGAATATAGATATATATATATATATATATTTTTTTTTTTGGGGGGGGTTCTGAAGCAATTCGTAGATTTGCATTCACGCAGGCCGTGCTGGCAACCAGCCCATCCGTAGCTGCGACGATCAGCGGAATGACTGGGCTGCCCGTGACAACGCCCCAGGACTGGGCTCAGGTTGTTTAAAGGCTGTATGTCAGGTTTTTGTAAGGGGTTTAGGGTTTTAGGGGTTAGGGTTTAGGGTTTATGTGAGGTTTTGGTGGGGCTTGTCGGTTTGTAGGGTTTATAAGGTTTGTAGGATTAGGATGTAGGGTAGTAGGAGTATCCCTTATAAAGCCCTGATCCAATCAAAAAGGGTACCCTCGCACTTGGTTTAGGATTTGTAGGGGCTAGGCTTAGCCTTTTACTTTTGCGATGCTGGACAAGCTAGGGCAAAGGCATCCACTGTCTCTGCTGCAGACTTGAAATGCCCAAAGCGACCAAAGCTCAGATTGCTCTAGAAGCCCTTGTCTCCCAAAATGCCCTACAAAACATGCGAAGGCGGTTGCGGTGAATCTCGCTACAGCCGCCGAGCTGGCAGCACCTTCGGCTGCACTCCCTAAACCCTAAACCCCAAACCCCAAACCCCAGAACCCTAAACCCTAAACCCTAAACCCTAAACCCTAAACCCTAAACCCTAAACCCTAAACCCTAAACCTAAACCCTAACCCACACTGCCATTCGATGGAAGGCTTTTGCTGGAGAGCCGGCGTGACCTTGGCCCCATACCCCTAAACGAGGCAAGCAAACCCTAAAGCTGTAAGCCTCCTAAACCCTTAAACTCCCCCTCCCCAAACCCTAAACCCTTAACACTTAACCCTTAAGCCTTAACACCGCAAACCTTTAATTCGTTCAGTGCTGTAGTGCACAGCAACTCGAGCGCTTCAGGCGTCTCGCGGTGCAGTCGGTGCCCTCTACATCCGCATCCTCCGGGCGCCACCCGACTCAGAGACACCAGTGAAAGGGAAGGGACGCCCCACAGAGTTTAGGGTTTAGGGTTTAAGGTTTAGGGTTTAGGGATTGAGGTTGGGGGTTCCTAAACAGTAAACTCCAAACCCTAAACCCTTGGGGTGATTCTTGTGCGGGGTGTCTTGTTCAACCTTCTGGGAGCTGTTTCTGCAGCATTCCTGCCTCCGAATCTCACACCCCAACCCTACAGCCCAGAACGTTTTGTTGGATCTCTCTCCTCGGGCATGTTTGTTAGGGGCACAAAAGCCTATTGGGGGATTCTGGAAGACCCCTTTTCTAGAATCCTTATGTTGATGGTTTTTTGGCACCCAGTTTATTCCATCCCGGTACCATGTGACGGTTACCTGCCGTGAGATATGATTCCTACATTGTCCCGCAGCTTGCTGCAGAGGATATAAAGACCCTACATGGTGAGGAGTGTCCCTGCAACAAACAGTCGAGGGCTTAGTGTTGTTTGGATTTAGTATGCACCCTAAACCCTAAACCCTAAACCCCAAACCCTAAACCCTAAATAAACCCTAAACCCTAAACCCTAAACCCTAAACCCTAGGCGTTTAGGCACCCACCTCTCAAGCTGCGGCACATGTTGAGGAGTAAGCTGCCAGCCACCAGCGCGCAGCATTCGAAGCTTGGCCTAGGCCCGTGCCTCTAACAAGCAGCCCGCTGTGCCTTTGAACCATTTAGGGTTTAGGGTTTAGGGTTTAGGGTTTAGGGTTTGCGGTTTGGGGTTTAGGGTTTAGGGTTTAGGGACCCTAAATAAACCCTTATAATGCCTACAAACCGGGTCGATGGCTCGACAGGGCACTTGAGATTGCTACTTCACCAGGAGAACCCTAACTTTATGGTACTCCCAACTTTGCTTCCCCCCTCCTCCCACCCCACCTAGAAATCCACTCATAACCCGGCCCCCTGCTTCGTGGATTCAGCGTCTACGGGGTTCGGGGCTGAGGGTTTGGGGCTCGGGTTCAGATTCAGGGTTTAAGGGGGCAAAATGCCCAGGAAGAGACTCGTGCTCGATGTCGATGATGAAGGTCGAGGGTTGACTTCCTGGTTCGTAGCGGGGTTGTGAGAGGGCCCCCGTATACTCCTGTGAGAGGGTTGTATTTTACAGGAGGATGTAAGGTACCTAAGTCCGTGCTTCCCGATTCGGAACTCCAGTAAGGAACCCTACGTCCCAAAAAACTCTCCAGAGTTTGATGTTGGGATGTTCCCCCTTATACTAACAGTTCTTAAATAGGGATTCAAACAGGGGGGTACGATATGCCCTATTAAGGACTGTTAGTAAAAAAAGGGGAAACCCTCCAGAGTTTGATGTCCAGATCTCAGCTTAGCCACAGAGTGCCGCGTTTCAAGGCCTTCACAGACCCTTCAGTGTAAACGTGAAAGCCCTAAACCCTCTAGAATTTGAAAACTTTACTGATAAGCCCCTCAAATGCCTACATTGGCCCCAAAACCCCATATAGTATTGTTGCATGGACGCCAAAACTGCATACAAACCCTGAAGTAAGCCGAAGCCCTTCTTTGGGGTTCTTAAGGGAGGAGGGTGCATGGAGAATAAGTACCTAGGGAACCTTAGGGAAGCGTAGGGAGCCTTAGGTAGTAGACCCCCTAACCCTAAACCCTAAACCCTAAACCCTTCAGAACCCTTCATGGCTTTTGGAGACTAAGGGCTCCATTTGTGCGGGTCACTGTGGCTGAGCGGTTCCAGCGCACGGAAAGCTCCGAAGAGGCAAGGGGTAGGGTTCAGAGTTTAGGGTTTAGGGGTTTAGGGTTTAGGGTTTGGGGTTTGGGGTTTAGGGTTTACGGTTTAGGGTGCAGGGTTTTGGGTTTACAAGGGTTTAGGGTTTCGGGTTTAGGGTTTAGGGTCTAGGATTAAGCTAAAGAGGGCCCCTTACTTTTTCTTAGGATTCCTCATGAGGGCTCCCTGAACCCGAAGGCGCAGAACCCTCGATGGGATGCCGCTCCTTTCGTCTTCGAGGCTTGGTGCGGTGTCTGAGGGTGGGTTTAGGGTTTAGGGTTCAGGGTTCAGGGTTTAGGGTTTAGGGTTTAGGGTTTAGGGTTTAGGGGTTTAGGGGTTTAGGGGTTTAGGGGTTTAGGGGTTTAGGGGTTTAGGGGTTTAGGGGTTTAGGGGTTTAGGGGTTTAGGGGTTTAGGGGTTTAGGGGTTCAGGGTTCCGGGTACAGGGTTCCGGGTTTGGCTGTTCAGGGTTTGGGGTTTAGGGGCTTAGTGCTCTTTCCTGTAGATGTGGCGGTCCTGCGTGACCTAGCAACCTGCTTCAATGCCACAGGAAGTAGTAAGATGCCGTCCAGAGCTCCCCATGCGATGATAATGATGATGGTGATGATGATGGTGATGATGAGATGAGCCCCTGTCAAGACTATCTTACAATACTACTCAGCCTGTTTAGGAGTGTTTCTGAGCTGTTTCCGTGGAGGCGTCCCCTTGATAGTAATATAGTGGTCAGCAAATATCACTTGTTAGCATCTGGTCCCTATATAAAATATCCCTCCTTTAGCAATCTCTATGCTAATCATGTAGGCCCCCTATATGACCCTAAACCCTAAACCCTAAACCCTAAACCCTAAACCCTAAACCCTAAACCCTAAACCCTAAACCCTAAACTGTCTCAGATGCCCGTGGTATGCCCTTCCTAGGTCGCCTCTAAGAGCCTGGACCTTCTGCTGGAAGTTCAGAGCCTTGGTGGCCCCAGGTGGTGCCCTTTTCTCCAGTCTTTTTGGGTTCAAGGTTCCCTCCTTCTAAAGTCCCCCAAAAAAGAAATAATGATAACTAAGTGACCTTATAGTATACTCAAGAAAGGTTGCCCTCATCCATGCTATGCTTACCGGGCTAGCAAGGAGCTGCGACGTGACCGGAGATGAAGCCATCGGCTCCTACCGGGTGCCGATTTCGGAGGTGGCCGTGGGGCCGGCGCCCAAACTGATGAAGGCCTCCTGGTTCTTTAGCCTTTTGCGATTCTATAGGGTACCCTATGTATACCCTTTAAGGGATTATGTAGGGCCCCTAATTCCCTCATTCCTACCTAAGAACCAGCCGGAAGGTAGCCCTCGCTGGTGGTGCCGGGGGGGAGCCCTGGATGGCTACTGGCAGTTTTACCTAAGAAGGGTTGCGAGAATCTTCTGTGGGTGGAATCCGAGTAGGGGCACCCTTTTGGGGGGGGGGGGGGGGGTCCTTCCTATAACAAGGACTGTACTATTTCTGGGTACATTAAGGACAGCCCTATGTGGAGAAGCACCTGTATGTCATATTGTAGCTTTAGGCCCAAGTATTTCCCGTTTTGGTACATGGACCCTCAGGGACTGTCCCTAGCCGTAGCAATCTCCCAGGAGCTGGAGTACGAGGCACTCTTCCAGCCCGTCGAAGATGGGCCAACAGCCTCGGATGAAGGCAAGAAAGGCCACGGCGGCTACAAGCGCGGCACGCAGGGCACACAGTCGGTGGTTGCAGGTCTCACCGCGGCTATCTGGGATATGGACAAGGCCCATGTACAGGACGGCAGCAGCTGGATCGTGTCTGGAGCTGGTCAGGGCTCATTCCTAGTGCAGGCTCAGAAAGGCTTGGTTTGTCCAGCTGGGCATCCCATCGACAAGCGCAAGGAAGGTGTCTAGGTAGGCCTCTTGGGATCTTTTATACTGTCCTTGTTTTAGGTTAACAGGACCATGTGTAGGAACTTGTTCAGAGGGCTTTCAGGGCCATCCTAGGTATGTCTTGGCGCCAGAGTCTGCTCCATGGCGACACGAGAGACTGTGACTTCTGCCATCGTGAGATTCACCGCGCAGAGACCCGATGGCGCTGCTTCTACCACTGCGACTTTAACGTTTGCGACTCTTGTTACACCAAGAGAAGCTCGGAAACCGAGGCTTGAAATGCATCGTTTACATGTTTGCGGCACGCGCCAAAGAAGAGCTTGCCCGACTGTCGACCGCCCATCCTCTTGTCAACTGAGACCGGCGTCCCTGCTTTTATCGTCCTGTAGTTTACCTTGCAGGGGGTTTTACAATGTGTCCCTCTGTTCTATAGCTGCAGTGCCGGTAAACCTATGGGTGCTCAAATCTCGCGATACCCTGCACGGAATTGGCGAAGGGGGCATGCCATCCAACAAGCCTGAAATCTAGCTCCCAGATGGCAGTTTGCTTAAACCCTACGTAAACGCAAGACTCTCCACTTCTCAACCCGTTCTGCTAAACCCTAAACCCCAAACCCTAGTACTGCACGACTACAAGGCCACTGGTGATGAGTATCGAGAGGACGCCATGTCGGACTCCATTGATGCCCGCCCTCGACACCCGAAACCCTGAATCCTGAACTGAACCCCAGCCCCTAAACCCTAAGTCGCCTCTGCTGCTCCAGAAAGCCTTTGTCAAACCCCACCTCCCACCCCATGATTTAGGGTTTAGGGTTGAGGGTTCATGCTTGAAGAAGGTCTGCAAAGAGGTCTTGCTTGGATTCGCCTGCCTTTCATGGCAATCAAGCACACGAATGGTTTTGTAATTTACTCCCTTTTTTTCGTGAAGAAAGTTAAGGTGCTTGAAGAAAGCTATCGTCAGCCCTGCATACTAGCCCCTCGACCAGAGGAAATGTTATTCTACAGGACCCCCAAACCTTACACTCCAAACCCCAAACCCAACCCCAGCTTCTGTTTCCGGGGTTTGGGATTAGAAGCTGACTGCAAAGCCTATGGGGGGGGGTGAGTGCGGTTTTTGCGGAACTTGGGGGTCCGGAGGTGCTTCAGGATGTGTGGTGTGATTTGGGATGCTCCCCCTTAGACTAACAGTATGGGTTTACGGTTTAGGGTTTGGAGTTGGGATGTTCCCGCTTATACTAACCGTCCTTAATCGGATTATAAACCGGGGTACTGTAATCCCTGCTAAGGACTGTTAGTATAAGGGGGAACACCCCAAGGTCCAGGGAGTTTATGGGTTTAGGTTTAGAGGGGCTTGTCTGAATCGCCTCGGTTCGGGAAACAAGGGGAAGCCTGCCCACATGTCAAAAAAGCTCGTAGCCTTCACAGCTTCCAGAACCCTTTTCAACAATATGTGACTTTTTGCCCAACATCTGACCTGCACTAGATGGTTCTGAATGTTTAAGAGCAAATAAGCCAGGAACAGACACTAGCAAAAATCGTCAGCATTGCGGGGCAGGGCGGCAAGCCCGGTCAGGGTTTAGGGTTTCAGATTTAGGGTTTAGGGTTTCGGACTCGAAAGCCTTAACCCTCAGCCCCATAAATCTTAGACCCCATGCTTCATGCAGGAGATGGGTCGGAGGGGCCTAAGTGTGCTCGCCAGCTCGGTAGCAGACATCTGGTCCAGGCCCACTGACCTAAGGGGCATTGGTTTCATGCTTTACGGTTTCAAGGGTTAGGGGTCCGGGCCCTTTCAGGGTTTAGGGTTAGGGTTTCGGGCAAACAGGAAGGTATGTTATGTGTAGGGTTTTGGCTGATGGCTCCGTTTTTTTCTTTTTTGTTTCCCGAGCCTTTTCGGGTTTTCTTACTTATAGTGGACTTCCAAAATATCCATAATTATAGGATTAATCGACCTTTTGACATTTGTTCTTGGTGCCTGCCCTCTTTGTGGGTACTTCTTTTTTCGGGGGCGGGGGGTGGGGTGTGGGGGGGGGGGGGGGGGGGGGGGGGGGGGGGAGTCTGGGTAGCTATGGTTTCCTTAAAAAACCCTAAACCCTAAACCCTAAACCCTAAACCACCCTAAACCATCTGTGCAACAACCAAACCCAGTCAGCGTTTGTGTCTTCTGAGACAAAGGGGAGTAAAGGCAGGGTTTTTTGGGAATCTGGGAAGCTGGGACCCGGAGTAGGCCCTTATTTCCTTTTTTAGGGTTGGGCTTCCCTTCTAATAGTCCCCTAAACCCTAAACCCTAAACCCTAAACCCTAAACCCTAAACCCTAAACCCTAAACCCTAAACCCTAAACCCTAAACCCTACACCCTAAACCCTAAACCCTAAACCCTCCTTAAACCCCTGGGTCTAGGAAGAGTTGCCGATGCCTTGTGAGTAGCCTTTGTTGGAACACTAGGAACGGGGTGCCCCGTGCCCTTTGACTTTTTGGGTCTCGGGTTTATAGGGTTTAGGGTTTAGGGTATGTAGGGTTTAGGGGTTAAGGGTTTAGGGCTACGTAGTAGAGTCCAGAAATGGTTGGGCTTCTGGAAGTTGTAGCTCATGCTGCGAATAGGCCCTTGTGTCTTGTCTGGCTATGCTACATCCCCTGCAGAAGATTTGAGCCAGTAGCTTCTGGTGACTGAACAAAGTTGTGCGCTGAAACATAACAACTGCCCTACTGTAATCCTGTAAGCCATAAGAATAAGCTGGAATTGGAGTTTGAAGCCGTAAGCTCGAACTCAAGCACCTAGGCCTTTCACCCTAGGCCTGAAAGCCCCCAATTGCCAATGTGCACGAGTCCTCAAAGAAGCGGATATCAAGCACAGCCCTTCCACCAAGCTTAAACCCTAAAACCCCCAACCCTGAACCCCCCGTCCTTGGCACCAGGAAGGCTGACGTGGGCGACTGAGCCATTCACAGGGGGTGGGGCGGTGGCGGGAGAGGTTCGGGTTTAGGGTTTGAGGTTTAGGGCTTTTAGGTTTGCAGGTTTTGGGTTTGGGGTTTGGGGAATGCATGGAGGGCTTCGAAATGGGTGGGTTTAGGGATGAAGAGAGGGGTGGAGGGTCTAGTGAGTCTAGTGTCCAGAGGGTGCTAAGATGTAGGCAACCCACCACAGCTAAGCCCTGAACCCCTAAAGACCTCAAGCTCGCCGAAGCTCCTCAAGAAAGGGTTGAGGGTTTAGGGTTTAGGGTTTAGGGTTTAGGGTCTAGATTGAGGGTTTCAGGGTTTAGGGTATCCCTAAACCCTAAACCCTAAACCCTAAAGCCCCTGGATAGCACCGAGCCCGGTTGGCTCAGGTCTGCCGCAGTGCCCTCCGACTGCTCGCCATCGCCTCCATGGAGGTCAGCGGCCTTCCCCTTCTCTTGGTTTAGGGTTTGGGATTTACGGTTTCGGGTTAGGGTTTAGGGTTTAGGGTTTAGGGTTTAGGGTTTAGGGCTTAGGGTTTAGGGTTTAGGGTTTAAGATTTAGGGTTTAGGGTTTAGGGCTAGGATTTAGGGTTTAGGATTTCGGGCTTCGGGCACCCAGGATGGTTCAGTGGCTTCGGGGCCGCGTAAGCCCCAACAATGGGGCCCGAACCCCGAACTACAGGGCAGGGTTTCGGGTTTCGGGTTTAGGGGCTTAGGGGCTTAGGGGTTTTGGGGCTTAGGGGCTTAGGGGTTTAGGGGTTTAGGGGTGGGGTTTAGGGGTTTAGGGTTCAGGGTTTGGGGTCATAGGGGTCCCAACCCTTCACCTCTTGTGCTTCTTGCGAAATGGTGCAAAGCACTCTGCTTGCAGCGGGTCCATGGCTTTCCCCAAACAACGTTTTTCCCCGAAACGCTCTGCACTCTAAGCCACCCTACTATAGGCCCCACTAAGCCTAATCCCTAAGCCCTATACCCGAAATCCCTACGACCTAAGCCCGAAGTGGGGAAACCCATCAGGCTTGCTGCCAAAAGCTTGACGCAACCGCCGCCCTCAGCTTCAAAGCGGTCTTTTATAGGGAGTGCCTGAGCATCACGTGGCTCTCCCCCCTCCTCCCTTGACAGGCTTGCACCCTTATCTTGCATGTTCAGCTTGAATAGTGCGCATATGTATCCTGATATACCCCATGCAGAGGTAGAATCCCTTATAAGGACCCGCCAAAAATAGGTCCCATATGCCTTATAGGCTTGCAAGCCTAAGCGAATGCCCAAGACAAAATGATGCATTCAAAAGCTCACGGGGATCCTACTGGGGCGGCCGACCCACGTGTATTTTATTGTTGTTTGTATTATAAGAAACCAAACAGGTGCAAGGAAGACCTTAGAATATATGTTTATTGCTATATGTAGGCATCGTAGTCTATACGTGGACGACCTAATTTCCTGAGAGAGCTTGGTAGAGCTCCGTGCGACTTCTGCGCCGCAGCAGCTGCCATGGCTGTTGGGCTGGAGCAGGCTGCGGTTTGGGATGTAATGGGGCTTCGGGTTTCGGGTTAAAAGGTAAAAGGGTTTAGGGTTTAGGGTCAAAAGTGCTTGGGATTTAGGGATTCAGGGTGTAGGTTTTGTTTTTGCGTTTTGGCTGTTGGGGGTGGGGTGGGGGCGGGGGGTTGGTTTGGCTGTCAACTACGGAGCTGTTAAACCACTGCCCTACCCAAGCCCTGAGCCAAATCGGGCTCAGGGTTTAGGGTTCAAAGCGTTTAGGGTTTAGTTTAATCCGAGCATCTGTTTAATTGGGGGGGGTCCCCCCCCCCCCCACCGCAATAAGGAAGGCAGGGTTCCGCAATAATTGGACCATTGCCCTGCATTGATTCTCTATTAAAAACAATAGGCTGCAGATCCCTGAGGTGCTGTAGCTTCGCATCTCCGCAAGCAAAACAAGAAGCCTGCCGACAGATTTTTGAACCCCCCAAAATAATTTCTTTAAATGTGGTGGGTTTGCCCCATACGAAATCCACCCTAATGGAAAGTAGTCTTCCGGCGGGCTTCCGGCCGAAAAACATTTCTTTAAATGTGGGGGTATTAATTAAACAGATGCTCGGATTAGGGCTTGTCAGGTTTATTGTTCAGGGTTCAGGGTTCATTGCAAGAGGCGCTATTACCCCGAAACCCCCACCCCCGCCGAATTCAAGCTGGAACTCCCAAAGCCCAAATCCCCCCTTGCAGTTGCCATGCACCCGTCATCCCTGAAGCCCCAAGTCCGTACATACATCCGAAACCCTAAGCCCGAAACCTTAAACCCGAGACCCCAAACCCTACATAGATATGTACACACATCCGAGCCCTAAGCCCCCGG